TTATACTATATGGAAACACGTGAAGAGAAAGGTTTTGATTTGATTTAAAAGTTTCAGTTTACAATTATTACATAATCAGTGCTGCACAGGCCATGCAAAATGGAATGATGTACAAATGACAAAATATGAAAAAGTTATTACGATTTTTAGTACAGAAAGGGAGAATTAAAGAGTTACCGTTAGTTTGAATTACAATTTTGATTCACATATTTTTTATCTGACATATATATGTAAGATATAACAAAATACAATGGCTGGTCTCAGAAATAATTGGCAACCTCAAAATTAACTATTCTAAATTTGATGTTCTCGCCTCTAAATTCACCTGTTCACCAAATTCAAGATGTTTCCATGTTACATAACAACCTAACACTAACTAATCACAGATTAGCTGTACTTATGCATCATACTTAAGTATAAGTACTCTTCGCAAGCAGCTACATCATTCCTTTTCCTACCTTCCACCATGCAAACATCTCTATGTTGCCATGCCCTCCTTTCTTCTTATTCTAAGATGATGTAATATGCATATAAAAATTATTGTGATTGCTTATGATCAAAAACTATATTGTCTCTAAAGAAATGAGTCTGATGTGCCTAAAAATAAAGATTGATGATTTGTCAAGACTCCAGTTTTGGTTTATGCATCTATCTATCTAACTATGCTGACTTCCTCGCTGCAGCGCATTAAAACTCCACCCTCCGCTGTCTATAGTCAGAAGTTAAAAGTGCCGGATTCCTCCTACATAATTGAAATACTACATTAATTTTTTTTAAATGCAGGCTATGTCCTTGATGCTTAATCATGCCTTTCCTCATATGATAAACTTTCTCTTGCTTTGTTAATACACTAATGCTTTTTTTTTCCACCACGCTCTTCGAACATTTCTTTTGAAGGGGGGGGGGCGATATGTAAGATATAACAAAATACGATGGCTGCACTAAGAAATGATTGACAACCTTAAAATTAACTATCCTAAATTTGGTGTCAACCCCCCAGTTTATCCTTTTTCCCAAATTCGAGATCTTTCCATACATACCTGCCAACCTCGTAAAGATAAAAATTCAGAAGAACACGAAGAATTAATATCATGCTTTGATATTAAAAAAATAACAATTTACACAAATAAAAAAAAATTTACTTACATTAGTAAATCTCAATTAAGTAGTAACTAAAAAATTATTAGGAAACATAAAACAAGAACTTAATGTTACACAAAATTATTGCAATGAATTTAGAGTGCATTTTTTTGGCTTTAGCCAAAAATTCTTTGGAAAATTTCCTGTCATAACAATTAGTTTCCTCATAACATTAAGCAATTAAAATGTTTTTTAGAGTTTTTGGTGAAATTGAAGAACGAAACATAGTTTTGTTTTTCTTCAAAACACTGAAGACTATCTCGCACTCAGCATTACTGTGTGGAATTACGAGAATAGCACATAAAACTCTTGCTAGTCTATTATATTTTGGTGTTCCATCAGCTCTTTTTATTCTTTTTAAGGTACTAACAAGGACATCAAGTCTATCTTGTCCAGAACTGGCAAAGTCTTCAATCTGTGCAGCAGAAAATTGATTCTGTAGTTCATCTAAAGCATCATTGTGGCATTCATTTTCTATAATTTTTAACAAAAATGGAAATTTATCAATAAAAAAATGAATCTTTTCAAAAGATGAATTTTCAATTTGTTTCAAATTTGCCACTTCAGCATTTAACAGAACTTCATTTTGCAAAGGAAATTTCCTTACAATGTAATCAACGGCTGAGGAAAAGTACTTCCTAACACATTGAAAAAATTCTTTTTTCTCATGATCTTTCACAGAATTTACAAGTTCCCTGGTTTGATTTCCAATTGTAAGATCATTGTCATCCTTTTGATTTGCCAAACTATTATAGGCAACACGAATCAACACACTGTTTTTCACAACGGATGGTTTTACAAACTTAGTATAAAGTTCTTTCAAAAGATCATTAAGAATTTGGATAAGCAGGGGAGATTTTGGCGAAGCTGATTGTAGAAGGGTATTTACACTTTCAAAAATCTTAATGGTACTTAACACAAAACTACAATATGCTTTGTTCCAATCCGAAGAAAGAAGATAGAAAATCCTTTCCTCCCGGCTAATAGAAGACTGTTTCTTCTTCCCTTCAACTTCTTTAACAAAGTTGACCTTTGAGGAGTCTTCTCCTTTGAGGAGTCTTTTCTTTTTAAAGGGTTTGATTCTGTGTGTTGGCTTTTCCCTTTTAAAGCATTTTGATTAGAAGAAAAGTTGGTTTTCGGAATCTTATATGCCGACAAATTTGATGGGATCTGTGGTTTCATTTTGGTCTCTTCTTCGTGGAAATATTTTAGCAATGCATCCCACTGCTCAATAAACCTTCTAGCGCTCTGCCTAAGGATAACCATCTCGTGCATACATGTTCAGAATTTTTCTCGTTTCACCAGAGCACAGTTCTTGAAAATTCTTTAGGTTTCTTTCCTTTTTACACTTTTTTCCAGATAGAAAAACACATCAATCAGAAGCTGGTCAATATTTAATGGTAAAGCAGCTGCAGCAGCTTTTTCTGCTGTCAAATTAATTAAGTGGCATGGGCATCCAATAACAATTAATTCATTTTGTTCTTTTTGAGGAAAGAGGCTACACCCTTTTTGTCACCCACCATGACATGAGCATTATCTGCACCAAATGAAATGCAGTTTGATATTGGGATGTTAAGTTGTTTCAACTCATTAATTACCAAGGAGGCAATATTTCCCCCCATAGCGTCTCCATTTAACAAAGGAAGACGCAAAAGATGAGTTTTCATTTCATTAGAAACATCACAGAAATATGTGACAACGATGGGGTAAAGCTTCCAATCGCTGTTGTTGCTGCCATCAATTGACACCGAAAATGCTGAATCCTGGAGTGCAGCTATCGTTTTACTTTGTGCATCACAAGCAATTTCGTTCACAATAGAAGATGTTTTCGTGCGAGCAGAAGCATATTTCTGAGCAATCTTGGAGTCGAGAAACATCCGTCTGAAATGTTGACCGGTGTGATCGGCAGCGCTTAGCGGCACGTTGTGTTCGATGAGGAATGCAGTAAACAAACACTCTGCCAAAATGACATCGGCATCCGAATTCGTAGCCGAATTTGAAAAAAATCATCCACTTTCTTTGATGTTGTCGAAGCCGAAGCATTAACTTCATGCTTTTTAGACTTAACATGCTTCACAATGTCGTTCTCTTCCACCGTGACTTATTATGAAGTCACACACGCACACGTTGCAAAATGCATAGTTATTTCCTTTGAAGGATTCTTTAATTGTTGGGAATTCGGCTTTGTAGGCAGGCCGAAAATATTGGAGTAATTCCCTTGCTGCTGAAGCGAAAGCGAAAAAAATAATCTGACACCCACAAAGAAAAGAGTGGGAGAAAGAAGTTCAGCTCATTGGATTGGCTGGTTAGGCTACTATCACACGTCGGTTTGTTTCGGAAGAACAACTGTTTGGCACAATTTTTCTGCTTTGTCACAACAGCCAATCACCACTGATCGCTTTGGGGTTAACGCAGGGAAAACTGGTTCCCCATTACAAACATGCTGATAGCATTCGAAGCTGATAGCTGATTGGTTGAAAACGAACAACCTGCAATTTTTTTCGAAATGAAGGAAAAAGTCGCACGTCTTCCTTTCAATAGTAAACCAGGCAGAAAAATTGTCCGAAACAGTTGTTTGTGTGAAACAAACGCCATGTGATATGGGCCTTAAGCGGCGAGTTGGGAGAAACCGCAGGTTACTTGATTCGAAGTAGTCGGTAGTTGGTGGAAAAACACGATGCAATTGCCAAAAATCGCTGAATTGGCGAAAAATTCTAAAATTTCGACAAAAATCACTAAACTTGAAAAAGGAAAAAAATCGTAAAAAATGGATTACGATCGTAAATCGTAAAGACAAACGCATTTTCGTAAAAATTACGAAAAATTCGTAAAAGTTGGCATGTATGTTCCACGTTATATTACAACCTAAAATTAACCAATCACAGCTTAGCTCTGCTTTATGCACCTACCTAGTATAAATAGCTACTAACTGCCTAGTCTCGCTCTCTTTCGCCTGCTTGTTGACAGCATATTGCTAAGGCTCTGCTAGCTATTCACCGTTATTTAAAATGTAATTGCATATCTAAATTTATAGGGCGGGTTTAGCACCCCTAATCTTCTACCAGTTATAAAGATATGCATTAAGGAATTCGACATCCAAAAATAAATGATGTTTAACTATCAAGCTGGTTATGCTTCTTCTAAAATTCCATAGGATCAATCCACTATGACACAATTTCTGATCATCTATGCAGCAGTATTTTTGGCCATGACTAGAATGTGAATTGTTTTTTCTGCCAAAAGTACAACATTACATATATATACATATTACAAGGAGATAATTAAATCAAAACATTAAATTATTTTAATTATTCATTTATTTTAATCTTATTTTTAAAAATATAATCTTAATTCCTAATGGCATTTTCATTAGCATTTTTAGTCACCTTGCAATTTCATTTTAAATTACTTTAAATCAACCAAATTTGTCACCCTTTTTACTTATTTCATGAACTTATAATCAGCCACATATAATTCTGAAAAATGTCCCTATTAAACATATTTTCAACTCTTATTGAAAAAGACCAAAGTAATATGTTGCTTTGTTTTTGTTTCAAAGTTTTTTTATTTAATTATTTTAATAGTCTCTTGATTAAATCTGCTGCATACTGAGAAACTTATAGTTGATGTTATAGTTCTTTTTAAAATTTTCAGAAAACATAAAATAATAGGACCTTTTTTAAAACACTTGTTATAACAAAAAAGAAAAAAAAATCAGATTAATATTTATATTCTAAAATTAAATGTAAGCCAAGAAAGTTGACGCACCATTTTTTTCATTTGGACAATTAAAATAAACACTAATAAGATTCACTAATAGCAACACATTAGTGAGATTATAAGCAAAAAAATTAACTCACTTCGCTTCGTAAAGCATACTGGCGTTCGCTCATACGTGAGAAACCCGTCGTGAAAAGAAGTCCATTCCTTAAGAATATTGCCTTTTGAGGCTTAGCACCCTCATGGCCAGGAGCTTCCTGAGAAGATAAAATAATGCATCAAGACAGAACACAGCTTTATAAAAATTCTATTAAAAATCAAATATAGTCAAATTTTGAAAGACCAAATGGCATAATTTTAGTTTGTTCAAGACAGCCAATTGCAAGAAAATGCAACACATGAGAAAAATAGTCACATTAAGATACTTCATACTAGTACATACAATTGAAGAAAAAGTTCTCATCTGAATGAAAACTGCAGAAAAGAGGAATGAGAGAGATTTTGTGCACAAAATTCAGCTCTATTTTGTAAAAAAGGTAAGCAGTATTATTAAAATTGACCTACATAAATTACAATTATAAGAAGGTCCTAACAAAACTGCCAGATTTAATATGCCCATAAAAATACTTAATTTTTAAAAATTGAAAAATATTTTTACATACGTACAATAGATGAATGATCTTAATTAAGAATCTTGAGCTTGATTTAACTTGGCAAGATTGGCATTTTATTACTGTTAGTTCATTTTGCAGTTTTGTTTCAGCTCCGTCACTACAGAAAGGAATAGAGAGCTTTGATTGCAAAAGCTAATTACAAGAATGGTGTGTATTAAGCACAGGCTGTTACGAAGCTACATACATTGCAAATTGGAAATGGATAAACAACTTTCCAATATAATATCTGGAAGCAAAAGAAACTTTTCGCAAGAGGATTATTAGTTTCCCAAGAAGATTTAACCTTAACTTCCATAAAATCCAGCACTATTCCCAAACCTTACTTTTCTCAAATTTTTCAATTTAACAAAATTAGGCTATATGGGGATTGAACCATAGGTCTCAGATTCAAATTCGATCTTTTGACATGAAAATGCAACTAATGGAATAGCAAACTGAAGAATGATAAAGAAATATGAGAACTCGGGTTTGACAGCACACATTAAATCACCATGCTCGCCATCCATCCTGTTTCTTAAAAACCTTGCTATTATGAATGAAACAGTTAATGCAAGTCTCAAAGAATCCAGATTTAAAAAGTAAAAATGAAAGAATTTAAAAGAGTATTTGAACGTATCATTAGTCACCTTAACAGGCAGACATGTGAGAAAGTGATTATGAATTTCATCAAGAGAGTACAGTGCTGCGAAAGTCATGGAAGACATATGTCAGACATTATTTTTTATTTTTAAATTGGAACATTTACCTGCAGTAAGCATGTAAGAATATTTTCTAAAAACAAAAGTATTTTACTGGGCATATAGAATCCAGTGTTTTTTATTGGGACATCCTTTATAACTGAAAAATAAGAAAAACATATCAGCCATGGCTATATTCAAGAACTTCTCTGCTTCAATTACAGCACAAAATGCATGATGAAATATATATTATATTTTTTCCATACCTGCTCCATTTCACCAGATCTAGGGTTGTATATCCTTATCTTCTTATCTTTACAAGTTGTAACTAATCTGTTTCCTTCCCAGTTCCAACATACAGACCATATAAGGTCAGGGTGATTTATAGTATAAAGGACTTCAGCAGTACCAACATTCCAAATCAAAATTTTCAAATCAGCACCTGTCAAAAAGAATTTCACTATTACATTTCATTTTCATTACAAAAACTATTCTAAAACTAAAGGAACAAAATAGTTCTTCATAGAAACATGAGATTATTTCACATCAAACTTCATCATTTTTTAATAATGCACAACTAATGCCCAAGATGTTCAGGATTATATAATATATACTAAGGTTGCTCCTTATGTTGATTTAAAAAAGTAAAGAGTTCCTTATTAAACTACGCAAGTACAATAAAATAATTTTAAATTAATTTCAGTTAATTTTGCTACCCTTTCTGGGATTCATGCTTTTTTTTTTTTTTTTTTTTGAATCTCTATAGCTGAAAACACTTTTTTACAAAAACAACCCCATACTTTTCATTTCTATTCTGCTCTATCCCTTCTGACTACAATGGTGGCCAAAATTGTGGAAACTTTTGGAAATTTTTATGTTTTTGAACTTTGTATGCTTATAGAAAATGTTACGTTTCGCAAAATGCAAACTTGTATATATCATTTTAAAGAGAATTTATTACTGAATTCAATACAAAACACAAAATTCAATTATTTGCAATACAAAAAAAGTTATATGTACTTTAACATAAATAAAAAACACAGTTATGAAGTGGTTTGTAATATCTAGCTTTCCCGGCCAATCACTGTTCTTGTTCTGAGAACCAATCATATGTTAGTAACTGCCAGTAGAAGCTTACATCATTTTTACACTTGAAACAATTCATTATTTTGCTTTGTTCTGTAGAAGGAGGACCTGTTTCTTATACACTGCAATTACAAGTAGGAATTTTTGTAAAAAATTTTAATATTTAGTCAAGAAGCAATGACATCAAATAAAAGAGTAGATTGGACACGTAGAAAGAGATGTAATATTATTGTGTTATGAGAAAGTGGTCTTTCCTATGCTGAAATTTGCAAGACAGGTGGATGGTTCAGTGACTACATCTGGAGTCTGAAAGTTTTGTTTACGATATCAGGAGACAAATTCAATAAAAAATAAAGAAGGAAAAGGCCGAAAAAGGTGCACCACATCTATTGATGACAGAAGAATAAAAAGACTATGTCTCTAAGATAGAAAAATGTCATCAGCAGCCATCAGAAGTGATCTGAATGATGCTGGTGTTTCTGTCAGTTCAAGAACAATCAGGAGAAGATTAACAGATGTTGGCCTGAGAGGTAGAATTCCAAAAAAAAAGCCTTATCTTAATTTTCAGCAACGAAAAAAAAAAAAAAAAAAAAAAAAAAAAAAAGACTACAGTGGGCAAAGGAACACATTAACTGGACAGATGATCAGTGGTCACAAGTTATATGGATAACACAAACATAACATATGGATCAGTGGTCACAAGTTATATGGGTTATAGTGATGAAACTATGATATCGTTATTCGGAGTGATGGGCAAAAATATGTAAGACGTAGAATAGGAGAAGAGCTACATCCTGACTGCATTCAAGCAATTGTGAAGAACCCAGTTAGTGTTATGATTTGGTCATGCATGTCAGCAGATGGTATTGGTCACCTTCATGTCATCGATGGGACACTGAATGCCAGAAAATACATCGACACTATTCTAGAACCAAAACGTCTACCTTCCATCAGAGATCTCTTTCCCAACAATGCTTTGTTTATTTTTCAGCAGGATTCTGCTCCTTGCCACATGGCCAAAATATTGAAAGAGTGGTTTCGTACAAAGAGCATTAAATTGTTGTCATGGCCAGGAAACAGTCCTGACCTCAATCCTATCGAAAATTTGTGGCACCGTTTGAAAACTCTTGACCGAATGAGGCACCCATCAAATAAAAGGGAACTAATTGAGGCTATAATTGTTTCCTGGCATCATGTAATAACGAAAGAAGAGCTTAAAACTCTTGTCAGCTCAATGAAACGTCGATGTGAAGCTGTAATAAAAAATTAAGGGTACCCTACTAAGTACTGATAACTCACTGTAATCATCACTATCTAATGTATATCGATAACTATTATCGTTTAACTTTTTTGTATTGCAAATAATTGAATTCAGTAATAAATTCTCTTTAAAATGATATATACAAGTTTGCATTTTGTGAAATGTAACGTTTTCTATAAGCATACACAGTTCAAAAAAATAAAAATTTCCAAAAGTGTCCACAATTTTGGCCACCACTGTATAACTAAAAAAGAGCTCATTCTAAAAGACATTAAAATTTATATCAGTGGTCTCAAACTGGTAACCCCTGAAGCAATTCTATGTTGCCATAGATAAAATTCAATAATGTATTTGCCACACATAAGGTACAGCAAAGATTTCAAGAATTTAGTTATTTACAGTCCGAATTTACATTATTTTCATTACAATTAAAAATGAACATGAGTAATGCACCAGAAAATTCACAAACGATGCTAATCTATTTACAGTGTGATATAAATCTTATTCAAAGATTTCATGATACAGCTTTTATTAACTTTTATTTGTACATCTGCCAAAAATTAAATAAGCTTAGTTACGAAAATTTACACCAAGAATAACCATTTTGTTTGGGAATACATTTATGTGTCAACATCTTTTTTACACAAGTGAAAATTAATAAGAAAAGAACCTGTTTGACCAATGAGCATCTATAATCCATGATGAAGGTAATGTCTAACTAAATTTTCTCCAAAGCTATAAATTTTATTGGAATCGAAACATTATGAAGTGCCAAGAAATAAAGGTTCACAATTATTCACATACAAACATATGTGATTTCATGTGTATGTTAGAGAAAAATTTAATAAATAAAAGAAAGAGAGAAGGCTGCAGTTATTTACCCTTAAGTTTCATTCCACTTGGAAAAGTTAGAAAGTTTTCATAATTTGTTTATTTTTACTTTAAATTAAAGAAAGTTATTTAATGATTATTTAAACATGTCAAAACTATTTTTAATAAATGTCTGTCTGAAAATTTAATATTTAGCTGTCAATATATTTGAATAACAAAGTGTAACCAAAATACCCTACATTTTTAAAAACGAGCAAAGACTGAGTTTTTTCTTAAAAAATTTACCCCAAATTTAAAACAAATAAATAAGGTGAAACGGATTTACATGAAAATCCTGTAACGTTCAAACATTGCACCATGAGGATGAAAATGTTGCAAGCAGGCAAAATGGAAGGAATAGTTTCCAATCCAATTCCTGTAGAGCAGTTGGTGTAGCCCGACACCAAATGACGATAGTTTTAACTCTGGTAACCTTATCTGAAACAAGCAGATTTATTTTGCTCCTTTGTTGTCTTGTATACTACCTATGGTATTAGTGTTAGCCTTAATTTCTGTGCCATTTTATTTTTGTTTGAAAGACGAGCAGAAAGAGAAATTCTTATATGGCAAATTTCAAACTACAGTTGAATACTTTTGCTGAAAATTCTAACAGTATGGATGCTCAACATTTCTCTGTAAATAAAAAACAAATCTGAGAGTGAAGAGAACCAGATACAAATTTTGCCAGCATCATATTTTATGATTTGGCAATGATGCAACAAAACAGCAAAATGAATAATTTTGAAAGTAAAATAAGTCATTTTCATAAAACAAATAACTCATTCAATTTTTTTCATAAACTTTAAGAAATATAAACTAAAAAAATTATAAAGTGTGATATTCAGTGGTTTATCGCTTGTGCATGGCTAACAGAAAACATTTCCCCCCCCCCTCGAAATTAGTGGATCTGTACATAAACTGATCTCTATAATTTAACTAACAAAAAATTCCCAAAATTCTTCTCTTATACATGGAAATACGCAGTATATTTCTTGCGAGTGTCAAACTTTAGATTTCAGAAAGAAAATAAACACAAATTTTAATTTTTTTTTCCTCAATATTATTATTGTTAACATCAACTTTGATAAATGTTTAGTAAACAAAATTTAAAATTTGTTTAAAATATTTTATTAATAAAAAATCTAGTATGTCAGCTGCTTTTAGATCATAAAATCGCAGCCCGCATGCAATTTGAGTTCGAAACCATAAATTTAGATCAGCATTTCCCAACCAGGGTTCCACTAGAAATATGGAAATAACACATATGTCATAGAGCGAAGAAACAATTTTTTCTCGAATCAGTAATAAAGCTGATGGTTATTGAAAAGCTACCTTTGGCCATTCGGCTAGGCTAGGCAGGGTTACACTCGTCAGATAGTGTCAACAGTTGTATCAATTTCTTTGTTACCTGCATTACCCATTCTATTGTTTAAAAAAATTTTTTTAGATATATATATATATATACGGCAGGAGATTATATTAAATGCTTCATTGGCAAAGCAAGGTGCACGCAGCATGATTCTAACCAGACATAGCCAAACAACTAAATAAACTTTTTCACTTGTCATAGATTAGAGTCTAGTGTGATTGTGTATGCATTAGTGTTGCAAGAAGTGTAGGATTTTGTGGTTAGTTAAACAGAGTGATAATGCATAACTTTTTATTTTATTATTATTTAATTTATTATACTACTATTTTTACTACTACAGTCAAAAGTCGTTATTCGGACACCCATAATCCGGACCTCAAAGCTACAAACTTTCTGTGCATGCGTCGCTTTGACGCATGCGCATAGGCGTTTACGCCTGCGCATAAGACCTTTACGGCTGCGAATATGGGTTTGCGCAAGCGCATAATACGTTTACGCATGCGCATTTAATGTATAGCGGACGGTATAAACTAAGCTAAAATTATCTAATTCAGTTAATGTTGCACATTGCGTTGTTCCTTAATCTTCAAATTGGATCCGGCTTATTATTTTTTGCAGACTGTAGAGCTATTTTATAAAAGTAAGCTTGAACTTTCGATTATGTCAAATAGAATTTCCGATATATATTTACTAGTATGTAAAAGATCTACAAAGCGAAAGTATGTTTTGAAATCCGAAATCTGTTTATTAATTTCACGCTGCTCTGCGGCAGGGGTAAGGGGCAGAAACGCGGCGGCGCGCAATGAATTGGAAGTTGATCCGTCAGCACTATCCTTATCTTCAGGGCAGATGTTTT